GTGTTCCTCCCGGCTGTAGTAGGTCTCGACCTCCCGTTAGCTTCGAGATGGTGGGTGTCAGATCTCCGAAAACGTCGGAGCACTTTTGCAAATATGTGATGTCTTGTAAACCGAGCAGATATCTGACGTTTATACAACTACATTCACGCCTCAAAATATCTTAAAAGTTTAATTTGTGACCCAGAAAGAGTGATATTACAACTAAGTAGCTGCCACCATTGTTTGAATTCAACTTTTGCGAGATCTCGCAAAGGTTTTGCGAGATCCCGAGTTTGTTTTGCGAGATCTTGCAAAAGTCCGTCTTAATTTTTTTTCTCCCATGTCCCCTGTGGGGCTCCGTAGAAACTTTAAGTGGAAGCTTTAGAAAAAATCATGTTTTAGACACTAAGTGAGAAATTAGCTTATCTTTGCATTGACTTGAGTCTCTAATCTGACATAGCAACAGACAAGAAAAAATGTAATGAGTGCATTTTCAAATATTGTAGACTTTTTCTTTAATGCACTCAATCAAAAATATGCTTATTGGCTTCAGATATTGGTCTAAATATCTGAACCAGGGCGTATTGCTCTTCTTGCTGTGACACCTATTAAATAACCAAGTTGTAATGTATTCACAAGTACGCTTTAAATGTGTGGTGTTAAACATGGTGCGAAACATACAAAACAATATCACAGAATCTAATATACGCTGATTATGGTAAAACAGACCTGCAGACTGAGCAATAGAAAACCTCTCAAACTGCTCAGTCATTTCCTCTGTTTCCGTTTGGTCCTGGAAAGAGGAAAAGAAACAAAAAATCAGTCCGTGACGTAAATTAACCTCCTAAGACCTGAACTCTTCCACGGCATGCATTTTTAATTTCTCTTTGATATTTGGGCATATTGGGGCCCAATGAATGTAAAAACAAAGAATTACCAGATTTTTTTTTAACCTTATTTTGTTTTTATGAAAAATCAGAGCCACCTATGAGGATATTTGTTTAAAATGTTGATAGAACAGTAGCAGTATAACGTCCTCGTCAGTGGATATCAGGCCCTTCTAGAGCAAAATTGAGTATTTTGGTCTAAATAACCCAAAATGTGATGTCCACATATGTGGACGCCAGGTCCTAGGAGGTTAAGAAAAAACAAAAAAATATGCTGCGTCATGTCAAAGTTTCACATAGTAACAAAATTACTTATGTCTATGAAAACAAGAGGTTTGTCCCTCACCAGTTTCTTCAGCACTCCATGAACGGCGTCAATAATTGCACGTTTGTGCATCTTATACGGCTCTTCTGTCACAATTGTGCACACTGCAGAGGGTGTGAAGACAAAACATTAGGGCCAGCCAAGCTGCTCTGGTTTTCTTTAGAGTTTAGATAACCTGGTTTGAAAGATTTCTTCAGCAATTAAAAATGTGAAATATAAAGTAAATACTGTCCTTAACAAATTTATTAGTCCACCCGTTTAAAACTAAAAGTTATGCTGTTATTTATTAGCCAAATAATGAACTGAATTCACAAATTTATAATCAAATTTACCCAAATTTGAGCTTCTTAAGGAAGCTGGGTTTTGTGTGCATGTAAAGCACTTTGGTTTAAAATGTGTTATAGAAATAAAATCTCCATTTCTTTGCTTAGTCCTGTTCTAATCAATAACAAGAGTCTCCAGCTATGCTAGATGCTTTAAGAATAATGCTAATGTTCAACCTCTGTGGTTCAAAAACTACTTTACTGCATTAAGTATAAAATAGCATAAAAACGGATAATACACATAAGAAATTTAAAAAGCAATAAAAAGGGTGAACAGAAAGACCGCATGACATAAAAGGAAGTTTATAAAACCGTTTCACTGATTCTGCAAGCCTCATCTCCTCAGGCACATCATTAAAAATCTGAGGGACCCTGATGACAAAAAGACCTTCAGATTTAAGCCTTTGCAGAGTCAGTAGGGACCCACCTCAGGCTCTAAGACAACCATCCCACCCAGTTTTCTTACCATGAGAAGTGGGTCTTTGAGCAGGTTTAGCCTCCCAGCATTTCTGCATGAGCTCCATTAGTCGTGCTAACCCGGCACGCCCTGCAGCCAAACAACGGATCTCGTCCAGCGATGGACGGTCTCCCTGCGGGATGCGGAGACGAACTATGCTGGACAATGCATCTGCATCAGAGGGATGTGTGCGTCAGGAGAGCATCAACATTTTACGTTTCTGCACTGATGATTATTTTAAAGTGATGTGTTTAAATTTTCTCTAACAAATAGCTTCATATGAACAAAGGACTAAAAGTAAAGTGATTTTTGGTTTGCTAAATTTACCTTAATATTATGGGACACTCTCTGCCCTCTTCCAGGGTAGCATAACACTTATGCTATAACATAAGTGTTAACACTTAAGCTTATTGAGTGGCAAAAAGCATGACTTCAAATAAGCCTGCTAATGTTAAAAGGTGCCTCTTTGCCAACCAATTCACCAGATAAACTCAATATCTGCACTTTTGATGCAACCGCGCAATTGAAACCAGCCCTATTTATTCATATATTTTTATGACTTTCAGAGGTAAAACAAGTTATAAACATGACAGCAGAACATTGTGAACGTTTTTCTCGACATATCAATTACTGTTTCAGGATTTTGTCTTTTAAAAAAGCGAGGGCCATTTTCACACATTTATCTATTGAGTTTTGCAGACATGTGATTGCTAACCATGTACTGTTAACAGTGAGCCACTTAGAGGTGTGAGATTAAGGTGACATTTGGTGAGGAAAACACCAAATGAGATGCTGCACTCTATGTGAGAGAGGGTATCTTGGAGGACCACGACTGCCAATGCCATCCTACAAATCACTTAAGAAGAAGAATATTGCTGCATAGTTTGAATGGAAGCGACAGATTTATCTACAAACACTGTCCCGCTGCTCTCAGAGCTGTAACTGAAGTGCGACACAAAGCGAGATTGGAGAAGGTTTGCTGCATGTTTTAGACTATGATGATCTGGATGACTGAGAACCTGCACAGACATACTTGTTATGATGTTGTGATACAGAGCTGAGACACAAGTTTTACTAAAAATTCCTGAACAAAAAATTTAACATGAAAATCTAAAGGAAATTATTGCAATCTGCCAGCAATCAAGGCAATCACAGCTGAACTTTCTTTGCAACTGATTTCACTCACTAACAGAAACATTCAGGATCCACCAATTTTGCGAAATACACATTTTTCCCTAGCAACCAGTGGTTCTATGATGGCCAACTGGGCTTCACTTTTTAGACTGGGAGTAACTGCCATCTGTTATGCTACGTTCACACTGCAAGTCTTAATGCTCAATTCCTATATTTTGATCAAATCCGATTTTTTTTGTCTGTTTGATGATGATGATTGTTCAAACAGCAGTCGCTTTCTAAAACATCAGATATGTATCGGATTCAGTACCACATACGAAAGTGACCCAGGTCGGATTTGAAAATATCAGATTTGTTCTGTTCAAACTGTCATACCATGATCGGATATGTGTCGCATAGGGTCAAAAAAGTCGATTTGATGCGATTTCGCCTGCATTGTGAACGTAGCCTAAGACTCTATGCTGATCACAGACCGTCAAACTTTCTGTTTGACTGTTGGTTCATTGTCTGAAAACAGTCAGTGGAGTCTTTAGTTTAGTTATTCTATCTTCTGGTTACACATGGTGAATTTCCACTATGTGGCTTCAGTTTGCTGCCAGTTAGAATCAAAAACACTGGCTATAAAAGGGGCTCTGTCAATATGCATTCAATCATGTGAAGCTCAGAGTCAAATAAGGATAGAAGCTGTTTTTGAGCCAAGGAAGGGGAAGATTATGGAAGCTACCTACGTGGATATGGTTCTTTTCCTGTGACGATGGACCACAACAGTATACCATAGCTGAAAGAGAGATGGAGAAAATCAAACACAGCAATTATAATAATGTATATCTGCAGTCATTGTCGAGTTTGGCTATCAGTTTGTCAGTCTGCTCCATGACATCAGTAACAACAACACGACCAGATTACAGAGGGAGGAGTTAAGCAACTGGCTGCAGTTCGTCAAATGAGGAAGTCACATGATTACAATTACGATACATTATTCCTCAGCCAAGTTCCCTGGAACCTGTTAACCTCGTGTGTTACCACTCGTATTTTTATTTACCCACCAGCAATGAGCCTGTGGTTAATGGCTGTGGATTAGAATGCAAAGTTCACCATCTAATGTTTTAAGATGAGTGTGAAGGTGAAATTTGGCATTGGTACTAATTCCTAAATATCAAAGGAAAAATTGACTCTTTTACCTGTAGATATCAGATGCCCGAGTTGGGTTGTATGAGATGCTAAATGCCTCTGGGGGCATGTAGCTGATAGTTCCCCCTTCTTCTTCGTCGCTGTACTTCTTAGATTTCCGTGTGACACTTTGGGAAAACTTGGCAAGGCCGAAATCTGTAAGCTACACGGAAACAGAGGGAAGGAGAAGATAATCAGGCAGTTTGTTTGGACAAAAATACTGTATTTTACACAAACCTACAGTGCATTGTATTAAAAATATTACTGCTTTATTAAAGACACCTTAAAAGAAACTGCTCAAACTGTTATCTATCTCATTTTACTGCAATCTTTCCGGTCTTTGATGTTATTCATGAAAACAGTCATGGATAATTATTTAAAATTACATTCATGACTTGTGGAGTATGTAAGTTGCACTTGAGTAACCCCTGAAATGACAAAGCAAAAAATCCATGCGAAATGCTGAAGTAAAACTACTTTGTAAAAACCCCCCAAAATTAATTATATTGGCCAACTTTCTGAAAATCTTACATTTTAATTTTATAAACACATCACAGAACAAATGTTTTTAAATGTCTTTAGATGTATTAAGAGTTTTAGAGGATATTATTAATTAGAAAAAAAATAATAGTAGTAATAAAATCATATGCAAGCTAATTTTAAACCATTTTTATTCACCAAAAACCTTTTAGTAACCCAATTATTACAGGTGTGCTTCATAATAAAGTAGTCAAGTGGTCTCAATATTAAGCTAACAATAGTAAGAAATGGATTTAAAACCCTTTATTCAAATCAATCTAATATCTGCTAACATATTAAAAAAATAAACCCATCTATTCACCAAAATCATCAAAATTTAGCTTCGTTGAGAAAGTTGGACCTATTGCCGCTGTCACAGGGTAAGAGGTAGTCTAGACTCTGGCTATCATTATTGTATTTGTAGAGTCACCAATAAAACACTCAAACATGTAATAAACGTGTCCATTTCATGCTTTGTCTCTTCAAAGCTTGAAAAGGACCTAAATTTAATCATCAACAGATGAACACAAGGTCACCTTGGTTGGTACCAAAGGAGATTTATCAAATAAAGAATTGTTGGCTAACGGCTTGTGATTGACAAGTATTCAGTTGTCTGGGTGGATGCTCTCCATCGCGAACAATCCTGCCAACATCTTTACTCAAGATACTTTGGAAGTCCTGTTTCTCATAACGTCTCTGATTCAGTCACAGTAAATACAGTTGGATGAGGTTTGGGACTCTTCCAAGAGGAAACTCCACCAGTTTTACTCATTAAAGTCTGTTTACAGTTGTGCAAAGCCTTTTGTGGTAAACACCATGATGTCATTGTGGTTAGGCTAAAGAGTGTGGCTCAAAGTCAGATGGAAAGCATTAGAGAAAATACAATTTTCTTTAAGCAAATAGTATTATTAAATTTCTTTATGACTGGGCCAAGTGTCCCCTTTTTTGGAAATCAAAATATGGTCACCCTAATATAAGACCTCTGCTGGTGATTCAAAGGTTTGAGTTTTCAATGTGAAGAAGAAAACGCAGCTGTTTGTATTTTTCCTTCCAAAATTTATAGAAAATAATTACTTCTAAATCAGCAGAGCACCATTTTAAAGTCTAAACAATCACCTTGGCATTCAGAAAGGAGTCCAGCAGCACGTTGCTCGGCTTTAGGTCCAGGTGCAGCAGAGCAGGAGAGAGATTGTGGAGGAAGTTTATACCTAGGGCCACCTGGTGGGTCAGTCTGAAGGCCAGCGGCCAGGGTGGGGGTCCTTGTAAATTTCTCTGTTAGAGTAAGGGCAGATCATTTTGGCTTTACACTTTGACAATCTCTTGTCTTACATTTTTCTCATCTAGCTCAGTATAATCTCCTACTCATACATAATTTCTCGATTTAAACCCAGGTATTTGTAACTGGACTCTTCCAGTTCAGCTGCTTTGTTGTTTAAAGATGTTACACATGAAAACCGGCCTAACCTTTAATCCTTATAACAATTTCAAGAAAGAGAACAATCAATATTAGTCTAGAGCCATCCTAAAGGCTCTTTGAGGTTGAGCTTAAAGACACGATGTCTAAATGATTGCAACTGACATGATAATTTAGCATGTTAGCATCAGCTAAGGTAAAGCTAATTATTTTGCAACCAGACATACTGATAAAGTCTGAACTACTGACCGTAAACTGAGTCACAAATATGTGTGGATTTCCCTAAAGGTGAATCCCAATAGATTTCCATGTTATAATGCTCTACTTTTAAGACTTGAAGTTACAGTATGCATAATTAGCGAGTGCTAGGGTTAGCTACAAAGTCCCCTTGTCTACTCTCCTGTCCATATGGATAAAAGACAGTAATGGACTTTTTGTAATGAAATAACCCACACTGCCATAATCATTATTGGGAGTTGTATTGTTCAGCTGAACCTAAACAATATCAAACCAAGATTTATTTACTATTAGCTAACATTGATTTCTTCTTATGAGTGGTTCCTAGCTTTATGCACATGACTTGTTACCATGATGGCAATGATTCTTGTACACTGAAAAAAACAATTTATATCTAAGCTCAACCAAACAAGCCCTTAACTTAAAACATGACATTTCCCTGACCCAAGGAGAGGTAGTTTACATGTTGAAAAAAAACAGTACAGCATTTTTAGAAGGGCTTGTTTAGGAAATTTTAGGCCAATCTATCCAATAAATTTTGAGACACTATAATTCGTCAAGCCTTTTGGCCTTCATCTAAGTGGATCAGGTATGTTGTTTACCTGCAGGTTGGCAAGTGATCCTCTCTCCATGAACTCCATGACCAGCCCAAGCTTTACTGGTCCAAAAGAGGGACCATGACCTTTAAAGACCCCAAGGACTGGAATGACGTATGGGCTGCTTCCTTTACACATCATTCTGACTTCACGCAGCAAGGATGAACTGGTCCTGTGTGTGTCGGATTCCCCCGTCAGTAAAATCCAACTCTTGTTATTATCTAAAAACAGTTTGGGTAACCACTTACCCATCGTCATCGTGGAGCAGTTTAACGGCCACATCGCAGCACCACATTTGATGTCTGGCCTTGTAGACTTGTCCGAAACCTCCAGAGCCTTTTACTTCCCAGTCATCCAGATCAGAGTCTCCAATCTCCACGTGAGTGGGAGAGCTGCGCAGTGCCATATTTCACTAGAATATTATATAAATGAAGACAGCAGGGAAATTTCTTTTGTTATTATACAACTGTAGCTTGCCTCCACCAGTGTGTGAATGTGTGTGTGAATGGCATTCAGTGTGGCACTGCTTCATTCAACATGCCTACCCATATACAAATGAGAAGTAGGTAAAATAAATACTTTTCTGGGTTTATTTGGCTTGAAATGCCAAAATTGGTACCCAAAGAGCAGAAGTGTTAGCTAAAGACTTTCACGTCATGGAGTTTGAATGTGTTCCCCTTTGAAAAATGTTTACTTCTGTCAGGTGTTACCTTGTTATGTGGTCATCTGTTCAATTTGCTGCCAGCAGCATCATAAATACTGATTTTCTTTATTGCTTCAGTCATTGAGGAAGCTGAACCGTATGTTAGGAGGAACTAAAGTGCCTCTGGTAATGTCCATTTTAAAAGGTAAAATTCAGAGAACTAGCTTTTCAACACACACCTCAACGCCTACACAGGAAACCACACTCTTTGTTTTTCAGGGGCCTTGACACGCTACAAAAATTCCAGAAAGTCGGCAAAATAAAAGAAACGTGTCAACAATGCAGAAACACGACAGCCCTGCTGTGAAAGCTACCTCTGTGGACTTTGTTTTAGTGAACACTGTGAAGTATTAGAGACTTAGTAGCTTCTGTTGTTCCCCTAAACTGCGATTTATACTAATTTAAAGGATGCCTAATGTTGTGTCTTCTTTGAACCAGACTGACACTACATTAAAGTTTGAAACCATTACGAACTCATTGCAAGACACTCACATAAACACTAGTAAGAGAATCTAGTGGATTTTTCAAAACATGGGGAATTACTCACCCTTAGTTATTCGCTCCTCTCTGTCATCATTCAATCATACCGAGTAAGTGTGAAAACCCTTGTGCTTATTCAGTGACTTTCTACTTGCTACTAGAGGCTGGACCTGGTGGAAGCAGAAGCGAAAGTTCAGCTCCAACCAATAAATGTCTTTTTTTTTAACTTCTGCTTCTGTCCTGCTCCTTTTTTATATTTTTTTTAACCCTAGTTTTATTTCACAGATTTAAATCTTTAAGTGTTATTTATCACCAAAAAAAAGGGAAGAGGAGAAATAATCAGGTGAAAAGTTACAAAAGACTTTTTTGTTGCTGTGAGAGTAATAATCATTCTGTAAGATTTTTTTTTTTAATTTGGCCAGCAGATGGTGCTCAACTCAGTGTGTCAGTAATGTCAGCTGAGTTATAGTAAATGGGAGGGTTTCACAAAATCACAACACCGCAAGTATGGAGGACTGACAAAACAGGCATCACACGCTTTTGTCTTGGCCTGAGCTTCTTTATGTGGATGAATCAGGGCTAAAACACAAATGAGACAAATAAAGACCAGGAAGTAAAGATAATCCTGAAATTAAAATGAATAAATACCCACCAATAAATACAGATAAAATACATTTAAAAATAAAACAGGTAAGAAAAGATAGCGTCCTGTGTTGATCTTTTTTTTTTCTTAGGGTAATTTCATTAAAGGTTGGTTAAACATAAATGCAGGTTAACTAGCCCTAACTTTGTAACATGATCAATTAAAAACACTGGCATTAAAAGCCAAACACGTCATTATGTAATGACAACAGTTTATAGGTTCGCATCAACAGGCTTTGTTTCCAGATGATTAAAATAATGACAACACCGCCCCAGTTCAGACATTCCTGTGTCTTGCTTTTTTATTACAGGTGTGTCTGAACACACACCTGACATGTTGTCATTCGATGCAAGCCTGAAAGCAAGACTGATAATTTGCTCTGCAATCACATGCTAAAGAATCAGGGCGTGTGTGCTGAGCATTCTTGTCCTGTAGAGCAGGAACGTCAAACTCAGGTTGAATGAAGGCCATGCTGAATCACAATGACATACAGGGACATAAAGCAAAATTAATCTATAGTGACATGATTTATGTTTAGACCCATTGCCAAAAAAGACTGAAATTTCTATAGCAGATTGTAAAAAAAAAAAAAACAGTGCCTTTTTCTGTCCTTTAATTGTTTATCTATTAGCTAATTGCTTTGGTGTAGCATGACTGGATTGGAGGATTGGAGTCTTCGTCCAGCCAGTTCTGGCCCACGGGGGTTATGTCTGACAAACCTGATCTAGCAGAAAAAAACAAGCAGACTATTCAGGTTAAAGTTCTGTTAGTTCAGCTACTGTGATCATCTTTGGGTTGCTTTTTCAAACTGACCTTCATAAAGTGTACGATCACGCTGGGTACAGCCAGCCCTTCAAGAAACTAGCTGCACATAAAAGTGTTCAAACAGGCTTTGCTCTTGAAAAACAAAGACTGCCTCAGTGAAAAAGAATCCACTGAATGTTCCTCACTATCAAAAACCATCACCTTGTTTGTCACCTTTCATTTTTTCAAGGCTTTTTGTGTTAGCCAGGTACTGAGCATGCAGGTGTGCAGAAAGAGCACCTCTCTGTTTGCACAGCTGCAAATGTTTATTGGGTCTTATCACCAATGGTGATGAGACGGCTTACAGGGAGGAGGTCAGC